TATACTAATTTTGAGGTAGAAGTATTATTAAAATTACTTGCAAAATATTAAAATATCATAGAAAATAAAAACAAATGTGATAAAAGGTATCGAAACAAACACAAATAAATAATATTCAGTAGAACATTTACTCAGGAGTTAAAACGCAACAAAAATAAGCAATTATTTTCTTAAAAAAAAAACTTAAAACTAAAGCATCAAGTGGAAAAAAGTAGCCTTTTTTAAATTAACTGAAAATTCTATGATGTTAGTTCTAAGCAACACTGTATCATCATTGTTAGTGTTCAATTTTTGAAAACTTAAAATCATCATAAAAATCAAATAAGTCCATGTAGATTTACAAAAAAATTCAACTAACATATGAATTAATCTGTAATTCAAGAATTAACTCACCAATAACAGCAAATTAAATCATGATTCAGATTTAAGAGTTAAATTTAGAAGTAATACATTATGAATACTGATTTTAACTGAACTTGCAATTTAAATCTTACTCTGGATTTAACTCAAGGCAGTGAATATGGATGTAAGAATTTTACCTAATTTATAACTATTTTTGATTTGAAATCATGAACTGTAAAATTATCTTTTCTTCGATGAATTTTTTCAAAGTAGTTTTTTAAAGTGAAATCTTTATCAAGTTTAATAAATGAAATACTGAATTTTGATGAAGCAAATATTATGATTTGCCCATAGATTAAATATTGTCAATTATTTAATTCATAAGAAAATCATGATTTTTTTTTTTTTTATGAGTGCTATGACAGTAATTATGAGAGTCTGGAATGAGTTCAAACAATGATCCTCCATGACAGTATAGGCTATTTCTTACTTCATAACTTACAGCTTTACCTTTCTATCTCTCTAACTATCATAGAACCAACAACTTGATTTTAATGAGTGAAAATAAAATTCATTTCATATATTACTTTTCAGAAACTTAGAATAAGCGTTCTCATTTATAATTTTCTCATGTTTAAATATAACTGAAAATTTATCAAGGAGTCTATAACAAAGATTGAGATTTATGAGACTTTTTAAAATATAATAATCAAATTTATAGAATTTTTTTTACATTTACAGAAGTTGCAAACTGTTAATTTAGATTTTATTGTACTGTACATTGTTATCAGTTATTTAATGTTTTAAAAACATACAAATCAAATATACTTATAAAACTTTGCTTATTGCAATCAATGTTCCAGTTATTTTTATCATTATCTTCAGATAAACAGACATTTTTAAGTTGTCTTTTTGCATTATCAACCTCAAGTAATGTGCAGTTATTATTGGTTATTAGTTTAACTAACATTTTAAATTTTAATTGTTATTTGCTCACTATGCAGTAATTTAAATTGCTGGTATTTGTTGCTGTTGAATAAATTATTATTAATAAATTTTAAAGTTATACATATTTTTTAAATTGCTTTAACCTGTCCATTAATTAATTAATGTCAGTCAGTAAAATCAGAATAGTAGTCTTACTTAATTACACCTTCAACTGCCATAAACCATCAGGCTATAATTTGGCAACAATAATAATAAATTACTAATAACGCTTCCCGCTAAGGCCAAATTTAGGCGCCATCCCAATTGAATGTGTTATTGCTATGTATTGGGTTTAGTAAAAGATGTTTATATTTACTTAATTATCTTGCTTAACATCATCATTATAGTCCAATCCCAAAATGATTACAATAAGAAGATGCTACTGTGTTTTTATTACAAATTATAGCTGATATAACTGTATGAGAGAATATGAGGTTATTCTATGCAAGAGGAAATTCAAAGTAGGCATCTGCTTTGATCTTTATACACTGGAAATAGTAATCCAAGTAATGTAGAGAATTTAAAGAATAAAATTCATTATTGTGCAATATTTTTTTAACCAATGAATGGATTTCAATAAAATTTTATTACTCCATTTGGGATTAAATCAAGCATTGAGGAGACCTGCAAAACAAATTCCTCCCTAATCACCTCTTAATAATATCACTTCTCACCTATTTTCTTTACATAGAGAACCTTGTTTGCTTTTAGAACAGTATGTAAAATTATTGGTAACAGCTGTACTGTTTATGTAATAAATGTACAAAGATAATGTTTATGTTCTGTGGCTAGAATTATCCCACCCTCTCTATATTTAAGAATTTATAGTTCCATTAAATTTTAATTCTATAATGAACTTAATGATAAATTTGAAATTCTTTTTGAAGGCAGATTTTACAAAAGTATTTTTTTGAAAATCAAAAATATTTATCATCACTTCAGTTTAATTATATAATGAGAAAATATTAATTATTTGAAAATTAACAGTATTGTTATATAACTTAGTTTTATATAATAGAACATTATTTCCATATTTTTTTATTGTATGCATGTGTGTGCACACACAGGTATATATTATATATGCATGTAAAGTAATATAAACATGTATGGTGGACATCACGCCGACAATTGTACTGACACAGAGAAAAACTTGCATAAAAGGCATTAAGAAATATTTTATTTTCCTGCGAGTGCTTTTGACGCAGTTATGAGCATTGTTTTCAGGCAGATAAGGAATTGAATAGTTTTTCAAATGGATTTTAAAATTGGAACAGAAACAGCATTAACTGTTTAGAATATTAACAACTTTTAGAACAGAAAGTTTTAAAAATTTGAAAATTGCATAACATCTACACGCATGCACTTTAATATGCGGAGAAGGTGGAGGATGTGGGGACGGTGGAGAAATGCAGTTAATTATAATGTTTTAATTGCTTATACAATTTAAAATATGCCATATACCACAACAATCTGTTTATATAATCTAGATGTTAAAAATAAATATACTGAATAGAGAACAAGAAAAAAAAACAACAATTAAAATGCAAACAGGTATTCTGTTACCTTTATTATAAAGGAATGATAAATCATCACAAAATTTATTTTACTTTCACGATAACTAATCTTGACCCTGTTTCTGATGGCACAAGGAAAATACTACAAAATACAATTTTGAAAAATATATAATGCATATATTTTTCTATTTTATATTATATTGACACATCTAGAATTAACTTTTTTTTTTTTTTAACAAAGCTTTTCACAATATGGTTTTATAGCAATCAAAATATGGCACAACTAATTTTGGAGAAAACAAAAAAATACGATAAAAGTAAATTTGAATTAGTTATAAATGCAGCAGACATATAATATTTACAATGTAAGAATATTTATATACATAATAATTTATAAATTTAATNCTAATAATATTGTTCATAAATTCTTATATAATTTTATATTCATAAAATAAACTTATTTATTTTATATATAAAATTCATTGTAAGTGTTTAAAATTATTTTAAATAAAGTTATTATAATATGTATATGTATTGGAATGACAGTTATTTATTTCTAGAGATTTTTAAATTTCTATAGACATTTAGCCATAACAAATTTATAATAAAAGTATTAATGTCACTTTTGTATTTTCATATCACATGCTTTTCTTTTTACTTGTTAAGCTTCTTAAAACAGCTTGCTTCTTACTGATGCTAATAGCAGATGTGTTAAATTCCACAAACTGAACTATATTATCTATTTCTATCATAAGAATATTTTACTAAGTTTCCCTAATAAATCAGGTTTAGAGGTTTAGAGATATTGTTGAGATTATATATATATATATATCAGCTGACCAAAAAAGTTTGTATGGCTTTTTCAAGATAAAATTAAATTATCATAAAAATAAAACAAGAATATTTTGTTCTTTTCAGAACAAAATATCCTTGTTTAATTAACAATAAGTACCATCACAATTAATAACCTTTTCCCAATGAGAAATAAGTTTATAAATTTCTCTCTTATGAAATTCTTTGTCTTTAGAAACAAAAATCTCATTCAACTTCTTTTCTTATTCTTCTTGATTTCAAAATTGTTGGTTACATATATAATTGTCAAGTGACAAGAAAAGGTTCTCAAGAGGTCTGGTGAATATGGTGGGTGAGATAGAATTTCTCAAGGAGGATTATGGAGCTTTTCCTGAGTCATTCTTGAAGTATGAGATTTTGCATTATCTTGAAGAAACATGATACTTTTGCAATTAATCAGCACCAGCTGTTTTTCAAAGTTTTTCATGCATACACTGTAGTTGAGCAGAGCAAACTTTCCCGTGATTAATTGGTTTGAGTACAAAAGTTCATAATGAACAATACCTGTTGCATTCCATTAAACACAATAAAATCTTCTGTTGATTAAGTGCAGGTTTTGATATAAAAGATACAGGTTCTCCAGAAGATGGCTAATGATAAGATCATTTAGTGTTACAGTACAGTACATAATCCATATTTCATCACAGCCAGTAGTATGTCCAAAAACAGGTTGCTCTTATGAGAAGAAAGAAATAAACAAATTGAAAGTCTTTAGAATTTATTTTCTGCTTTTAGTTCATAAGGAACCAATTTGCTTAATTTATATACTTTTTCCAGTCAATGCAAGTGTAAAATAATGGTTTCATCATGCATATCAAATCTTTCTGCAAGTTGTTCACATGTATGACTCAAATTTGGCTCAACAGAATTCTTTAATTTGTTATTATCAATGACTGTTTGACATCCTTCACAGGACACATCTTCAAGAGAGACATCTGACAAATTTTTTAATATCATTTTTGGGCCAGGCATTCACTAACCATCCCTTCTCTGAATGCTGCATATATATTTCTGGAAGCTTATACAGCATTTGTCCTAAGTTTAATTTCATAAAGTAAGCCTGCACAAATAACTGAATTTGAAGCTCACATTTTGATGCCTGTTTTACATTTATTGTAAATAACTATACAGTTAAAACTTTTCAACAAGCTTCTGTAAAAGTGAATTTAGAACAGTAATAACAACAACATGTGATTTACAAGGAATACTACATTCTTAATGTTTAAACTAGTAACTTTACAAAACCACAAAAACTTTTTTGGTTATCTGATATACCTAAAATCAAAAATATTTATAAAAATTTCTATTACAACTTACCAATGATCAGTATCAGCCAAGATACACAGTGCTTCAGATACTTCATCTTCAATAAATGAGAACTGTAACAAGTAGATATAATAATAATAATAATGAATACAACAGAATAAAGTTTTTAGATTATAAAATTTTATATAGTTTCTACAAGAATATGAGATAATGTGCTGTAAATAGAAAGCACAATCTCAAACTATGTTCAAATTCAAAAATCAACAGTTCTACTTTTTTAATGATTAGGCATATATTTAAAGAATTAGTAATTTAATCAATAATATGATAAGTGTTTTTTTCTCATCTTTTATAATTTAGCAGCATGATGAAAATACCTTACTAATATGTTGAAACTATATTTACTGATCTCTATTTTTAGATTATTTATATAGTTTTATATAATTAAAAGAATTACTTTGGCAGATGCCACTAAATCTTCAACAATTTCATCCCTGAGATTTCTATGATTTAATTTATTTCTAAAATCTCCATGTATTCCTTGTAAACAGAAACATGGCATAAAATGATCATTAATTCCAGCCATTAAAGACCATCCTAAACTTTTATAAACATTTTCTTTTTTGTGTTCTCTTTCTTTGATCCTTAAAAATGGCATTTCCAAGCGATTTGGTAAATTATCAAATAGTTCCTCCACCTGAAAAGATGTATTAGTGTTTTTCAAACAAAATTCTGTCTGATTTTGTTTGGTATCTTCCATACTATGATAACCTTCTTCTGGACTTTCCGATCTAATGCAATAGTTGTCACAATTTACTTCTAATTTTGATTTAGCATCCTGTTCATTAGTGAGAGTAAAACCTATAGATTTTTGAGGTGTAAATCTAAGATTATGATATTCTTGCATAAATAATTTGCTATCATCAATAGATTGAATAAATGTTTGATTATCTTTATTTAATGGAATATCTTGATTTGCAGTTTTTGACTTTTCTAAATGCGTATCATTTTCTGATGTAGCATTATCATCATTTTCTTCAATCTCATTAACAGTGAAAAGAGGATTTGCAAACAAATTTGAATTATCTATAACATGATCTATTTTATAAGGTAATGAACAGACTAATTTGCCTTCTTCAGGATGATTTGAATACTTATGCTTTTTATTNAGCGATTTGGTAAATTATCAAATAGTTCCTCCACCTGAAAAGATGTATTAGTATTTTTCAAACAAAATTCTGTCTGATTTTGTTTGTTATCTTTCATACTATGATAACCTTCTTCTGGACTTTTCGATCTAATGCAATAGCTGTCACAATTTACTTCTAATTTTGATTTAGCGTCCTGTGGGGGCCAAGGGGGGAGAAATAAAAAAATCTCGACGAACGATAATAGGTGATATATATCGTCATCGTCTCCCTTGCCGTTTGGATTGCCGAGCGGTAACAATCAACGACATGTGGAAGCAGTTGAGTCAGAGATAGATGCTTCGTTTACAAACAACACAACCGTTTATTAAACACGAAAGAAGCTTACAAGACTACTGCGATCTTGGAAGTTCTACGTCGGCTGCGGTCGCTGGGTCTTCCTATCCTGTGGTTCCACGATAGTCCCATTTTGAAGGAGTGTCCCTTGTTCGCGAATGAACCATTCCATCACGTCTGGACGACTCCGGGACGATGCGGTCGACTTCCGTTGAGGGAAAGATGTCGATCCGAGGTCGGGAGATGGAGACGAAGATGGGTGCGAGACACACACACAACAACAGATCCGTCACATGGAACTTTTGGGAGAAGAAGCCGTCGCGTCCTTGAATTTCCGGGGTTTTATCCGTTTTCTCTCAGATTCCCCTTTCCGATTGGTCTCCCGTCGTCACCTGATGACAATTCGAAACCTTTCGGGGGCGCGGGAGAGGTCAAAATTGAAGTTTAATTCGATCTCTAACCGGAAATGGTCGACGGACTTACATTCTTCTATTGTTTAAAAGTTTTCTATTGTCTAGCGTCGCGTTTTCATATCAAAAATCTATTTCTAACTAACATATTTTTTTCTTTAAAACAATTATTTTAACGCGAATTTTAGTGAGGGTTCGGACCTGTCCAGAGCCTCACAATCCTGTTTATTAGTGAGAGTAAAACCCATAGATTTTTGAGGTGTAAATCTAAGATTATGATATTCTTGCATAAATAATTTGCTATCATCAATAGATTGAATAAATGTTTGATTATCTTTATTTAATGGAATATCTTGATTTGCAGATTTTGACTTTTCTAAATGCGTATCATTTTCTGATGTAGCATTATCATCATTTTCTTCAATCTCACTAATAGTGAAAAGAGGATTTGCAAACAAATTTGAATTATCTATAACATGATCTATTTTATAAGGTAATGAACAGACTAATTTGCCTTCTTCAGGATGATTTGAATACCTATGCTTCTTATTCATATTTTCAATCTCATTAATATTTTTCATTGACTTATTTGCAAGTGGATCTTTGCTGTCATAAAGCATACTTTCCACAGAAGAAAGCAAGTCTTGAAATGATTTATCATTATACACATTTGAATTTCTGAAATGTTCACAAAACTCACAGAAATCTTTATCTTTGCATTCCTTACACAAGAAATGATTTGCCTGGCATACAAAGTCGTGCCACTTTAACCTTTCTTCTTTTGTAGCGAAATTATTTCGTATTTGTTGGTCAATTTTTGGATTTTCTCCAATGAAAAACTCCACATTTTGCTTCTCTTTAAATATTCTGTCTAACTGTTTAGAATTATGATTGGCTAAAACAGAATTCTTATGATTTGAATGAAATTTTTCCCAACATAAAATTTTTTGTAGCTTCACCTTATCATCTAAAGATTTTTTTCTCCTCCTTTTGCTTTGAAATTTTTCCAGCCATTGCACCATTCTCACAAAGATCATTTACAAGTGTAATTTCTGAAATAATACCATTTTCTGTTTTAAGTGGTTGGCATTTTACTTTTAAACTCTCAGGCATATCTTTTATATCTAGAGTTTCATTTTGAAGTTCTCTGTCATATTTTTCACAGCTGTCAGAAACGTAATTAACAATAGGTTCAACATCATGGACTTTATCTTTGTTTAAAACAACTGGAGATCCAGCAGTATTTGGTCTTTTTACTGGTGAATGCCTTGTATCCAAACAAATATAATTTTCTGGAAGAAATACCATTTCTTGTTCTTGGTCGTACACATCACAACACCGAATAAAATAACTGAGCACAAACAGAAATCTATAAATTATATTCATTTTCTTCCCAGTCACTATAATTCTTGTTACTTTTGGTTTATAATTAGTTGCACCATATATATCTTGTAGTTGTAACCATAAAGGATTATATGAATGAGATTTGGCAACTTGATCCATCCATTTAGATTTGTTCTTCTGATGAAAATTTTGATGAGAATAAACTTTTGAAGGAACTACTGTTGACACCCAAGATAAATGATATGTAAGAACTGCTGTCAGCAAAGTTGATACAAAAAAAATTTGTGTTCTTAGTATCAAAATCTTCTAATAAAGAAACAAATTCTTCAACTAATTGACTATATTTTGTTTGTAAATCATCTACAGAGGTCATTATTGTCAACCACATTGGAAACTGAAGTCTAGGTGCTGCATATAAATCTTGTAGTGTTTTCAAAATCTCAAAGCCCTTATATATATTATCAATAAAATTTTTTCCTTGAAAATAAGCATCAGTTACAATCTGCTTTAATTTATGCATATGACATTCAATCAAATTTATATGAGAAAAGAAAAAGTCTTCAAACAAGCTTTCTTCCTCTTCAAGTTTTTCTAAATTAATGATAATACTAAGTCCTAAATTTACTTTTCTTTTAGCTGGTAAATTATCTAATGATGTTGATTTGGCAGTATTATGAGCAACTCCATATTCTAAACTTGTAGTGAAATTTCTCATTTCTGAATTCTCATTGTATTGTCTCATTGTATTCTCATTGTATTCTCACTGAATTCTGAATTCTCATTGTAGTGAAAATTCTCAGTTCATAACTGCATCAAAAACGCTTGCAGGAAAATAAAATATTCCTTAACACTTTTTATGTGAGTTTTTCTCCTTGTGTCAATGTGCATGTACACACAAATGCACATAATTTAGAAATATACTCAAGTAAACATAATTTTTATGCAATAGAATTCAGTTACAGAATGTAATAAGTTTTTGAAGATGATGATGTTGGATAGTTACTAAAATAACATAGTTATACTTTATGATTACTTTGAGCAGAATGATATGGATATACAGGGTGGGCCATCGAAAACGAAATGGCAGAGTTATCATGTTCGTCCAAGCAAATCGCTTGGACAGGTCGATTTTATTATCAAGGGGAACATCATCTGCAATAAAGTTTGTGATTTTGAATACAACAGACAACAAAATATTTTAAAAACTCATTCATTTTTTATTAACTAAACAAACACTTATTTCGGAAAAAAGTAACACAAACTATTAACAAACATAAAAAAACCTTTTAAGCTGGACCGCATATGCAAGGAAAAAAATATTTCCCCTTGAGAATAAAATCGACCTGTCCGAGCGATTTGCTTGGATGAACACGATAACTCTGCCGTTTCGTTTTCGTTGGCCCACCCGGTATAGTTTTAAAACTTATTTTTGCATATAGTTTTTTCATTCATTTTGATTAATATTTTTATATATCAATCAATTATCAATATATAAATTAAACTACTAAATAATCTTTAATAATCTGTATCTTCAAAATATTCTGAACCAGCAATTCCTAATAAGGGGGATACACACTGATGATTTAGGGTACAACGTTTAAAAAACTGTGTGTAATTGTACAGCACTGTATAATTGATCAAGGTGCAACTGTTTGACAAACATGTGAAATAAAACTTAGCGAAAATAAGCAACTAAGGAGTATGCAAGTAAAAAATGTTGGGATCCACTGATCTAAACTACTAAAATAATCTTAATAATAATCTTTTCACCCACAGCATTATGTTTCTCAATTATTAATTTAATTATTCATTGATTTACAGGTNATAATATGCTAATTATCAGTAAATTATTATAACCTATAAATAATCCAGCTTTACATCTTTGGCTAATTTTTATGTATATTATATTATAAAATCATAAAAATCAGACTATATAAACTGTAGACATACTATATTTTCAATCTTAATGTGAGATTGTGGAGATGGGGATTAAATTTATTAAATAAAAGAAAAAAACTAAAATATTATTTTGTCATTAAAAACAACACATTTTTGTAATTTTGTGGGAAAAGAGGAAAAAGGGGAAATAAACCTTCCTTTTTCAACTCCTGACTTTCCATGGCAAGATCTTATCACATATTTTTTGACAAACATCTATCAACTTGAGTCGTGATGAATGTCCCGTCATATGATAAAAATCCTAACCCCAATTGGAGGAGATTACAGGATATAAGGAGCTAACACACACATCTCAGGATTGACTCATGCATAGAAGAGTGTAGATCAAAGCTCCATCTGGCAACCCTCTCGTCTCCTCCAAATTCGCCAGCAAAAAGAGATGCAACACTATGAGAAAACTTCTGACTGTTTCAGAGATATTATGCACTTGGTTTCATAAACTCTCTCTCTTGATAATTAGAGGAGTACGTAGTTAGGCCATTGGCCTAGCTATATTTTATGCCAGTTGTATTTATCCATTGCTTTACCTAACTCATTAAACTTTTGTTTATTTGATGTTGAATGAATTTATTCAGAAATCGGGCCCTATTGACTTACCCACAGCACTCCCCACTCGAAGTTATATGCAGCCCTCCTACTTGCTTTTAACCCTACAAAGCCACCCACTGACAGTTGTGCAGGTCCTACCAGCCCGACGTTGCACTAAGGTGAGAAAAGTAGTAAGCTTCTCACTGTGGATTCTCGCATTAAGAACAGAAATTTGGTTATAAACAGGAGTTTATCTAAGAACACTATCATTAAAAATCCATTTACGATTTGGAAAGACTGTTTTGAGATTCAACAAATCTTAGGCGAAGTCAAGTCCAAGTCATTACAACAATGATTTAATTCAATAAACAAAAAAAAGCAATAATTTATTGTTATATCATCACAAATTCAGGCTGCCCAATAATTTTTAAATTTTAAATTTATTTAATTTAAAGTATATTCTCTCCAACTCAAATTAGTAGCGGCTTGCCCCTCTACATCATACTTTTACTTTAACAATAGAGCCATGCCAGTCATCTAACTCCTTTCAAGGAAAAATTTTTGAATTGAAATAACATGACTTCCAGCTTGCATCTGAAGTTCATATATAGTTAATCAGTGACTCCTGCTCTTATGCTTTCCATATCTGGTCTTAAATTTCATTTATCTAACACTATTTTTGAGATTAAGGAAAGATAGAAGGATGACTGGGAATTTATAGGTCTATAATTTTTTCAAATTGCAGCCCAATAATTTGATTATTAATACTTTGCATTTATAAATAAATTTTAATTGATGAAAACTTAGTTCTTTATAAATTAACCAAGATGATAATCAATTTTCTATTTTATTTACAAACATTTTTACTTAATCACCTTCCATAAATCCCCATTTTACTTAAATATCACAAGAATTCAGATCAAAGACCTTGAATATGTCTTGTTTCAAACAGACAAAGTTAATGTTTTCTTAGAAGTAAGAAGTCATATTGAAAATTTGTAAATTGTACATATCTCATTTTCTTTGATTACAAACAATCGTTCAGAATGATTAACCAAACAACTAAATTGAAATATAAAAAATAAAAATAATTCTTTTTGTAATAAAAACATTAAAAAATAAGGAAAAAAATTTTTAATCGAACAAATTGTCGATTTATAACGGTAAACTAGTAAAAATATATGTGAAATATAAAAAATAAAAACAAATCTTTTTGTAATAAAAACATTAAAAAATAAGGAAAAAAATTTTTAATCGAACAAATTGTCGATAAATAAGGTCAAGCGTAAAATAAAATTCCGTGATTTCGTACAATTTATCATTAACATCGCATAAAAAATCCGGTAATGGAGTGTATATAAGTTATAGGCTATATATTCCATGAACGTACATTGTTCTTAATAAAGAAAAAAAATGACCATAGAATAAATAATAAATAAAGATTTAAAATTTTATAAGAAAAATGTGGAATCGAAAGAAGATAACAATAAAAACTGCTATTGTTGGTGGAGGAAAAATCAAATTTATTTAATGTTAAAACCTTCAAAATGACGACGTAACCTAATTCTGTTTGGTTCTTCATATTTAAAGTTAAATATAAAAGTATTGTTTCTTAAGTTAAATATAATAAACAATACATTTATGTAGCCTATATATAAATAAATCAACATTATCCTAGAAAACATTTTAAAATACAGTACATAGAAAAATTAAGCGTGACATGTCACCATCACCATAAACATCATCGTCATCACCTGAAAGTAATTAACCGTTCTAATTTTGTAATAAGAGTAATTAAATTAAAAATTATATAGTTTTTCCCTTTATAAACTAATTTTTTAAATTAAAAATTGCATGAAAGGGATTTTCTTTCTGTCGTGGATTCATATTTAAACAGTGTTTGAGATTTTAAAATAAAATATTTATAAATTTTAAAAATAAACTTACCTTCTTTACACGTATAAAACTTACCGTTTTATACGTGTAAAACATTTTAAAAGAATATTTAATTTTATACAGCATTAAAATTCCTGTTGATAAAGATCTTAAGGATGTTATAAAACGATTAGTAATGTTTAACGTAATAAAGCACTTTAACATCCTTATTGCAATTAATATTTAATTATATTTAAAACCAAAAGTTTTAAATGGATTTAACAAATATTTCTAAGCTCTTAATTAAAATTAAACAGTGATAAATTAATATAGAATCTTAATGGGCGATAATATAGACGAAAGAGGTCGTAAACTGTGATACAAATCCCCACAAATTTGAATTTATAATAATTAAAATTTAGGGAATAATAATTTAAACACAATTAATAATTACTTAGAAAACATTAACAATTTTAATTTTATTTAATTAATTGGAAGTAGTATTTATAAATTATTATGAATAATTAATTTGGGAAGGATTTCAAAATATATGTAAACCCATTAATTCGTAACCACAGGATGATTTAACTCATATAAAATATAGTAAATTATGATTTTTCGGAGAAATAAATGTAAATATAACGAGAAAATTTAATGTAAATTTATTTTTACTACGAATATAATTAAAATTAAGAATATATTTTAAAAATAATCTTGATAAGAAACGGGATTTATAGACTGCATGTCTTGATATTTTGACTTCACTTCTTCGAATTGATAAGATTTATAAATTAACTTTAAATTTGATTTAATTATTAATAAAAAATAAGCAAAATACTTAGAAAAATAAGATTTTCTGCATCAATAATTAAGCAATTTGCACTTTTAAAACGTTGGCTAAAGGTAAAAATACCGAATTTTTCTGTAGACATGTCGTTACAAATGTAACCTATATTTTCTAAAGAAATTAAATTCATAAATGCTAAATAGTATATTTAGAAAGCAAATTATATGTTATTCAAAGCATAATTTGAATTTTAATAATTATAAATAGTTAAATTGATCAATCTTATTTTTGTTTTCGTGCTTATTAGAATAATGGAACGTATCCTTGAACTTGTTAAACGTGTTACCCTAGTTAATTGCTTGAAAGTAATTTTGATAGAAAGGTAATTAAAAACAATTTATTAATCCAAATTAAATTATGATATTAAAATTTGTATTTATTTATTTTTTTAAGTGTTATGCAGAAAATCTGCCTTAATTTAATCATAATCTGAAGAAGAAATCCAGTAGTCTCAATACTAAATCATCGATCACTACTCGATTTATTAATGTAATGTTGATTAAATGAATTAAATTATCATGTTTCTAATGTAAATACTCGTATAAATTTCATAAATTAGTAAACCGAAACAACTTCTACCGAGTTAAACTTTGATGGATCTGATTAAAGTATGTATCACGTTCATATACAGTACTGTACATATTTTATATTTCTTTCTAACATTATAATTACTCTAATTTACATAAAAATTAATGAGAATTTAAAATATTAAATTATGTTTTATGGTTTTTCAAACGGTGGCATAATTCTTATGGTTTTTCAAAGAACGTTGCCACGAATGATTGGTTTCCTTACAGGAAGCTCAAGTGGTCTTTGCAAAGTTTATTCTTATAAATTAAAAAATATATTTAGAAATGCATTTTATTATGATTATGTATACAATTACATAAATGTATCCTTAAATAAGATTCATTTCTAAAATCTTCATAATTCTAAGCATATTTTGAAACTAAAACCAAGGACATATCATTTTTATGGCATGATGTTCCTCATGATATGAGACAATGATTTATTATTATTTTTTTTTATTGTAAACCGATGNATAATACTAGAGATATAATTACAAAATTCCTTTTAAAAATTAAACATGTAACCAAATTCAAAAAAGATTGCTAAAATAAACTTTCTGTAATTTTTCAACAAATAAGTAATCTTCATATTAGTACTAAATATTCCTATTTACATAATCATTATATTCCTATAGTTTTAGGTTATAGCAATACTACTTTTTACAAATGGAAAACTTCCAATGAGAATTCAAAAACTAAAATTTTATACAGTTTTCCCCAAAAAGAGCAATGTTTATAAATATGAAATTGCTTAAATAATAAACTGGCATGTCTATTATATTCTAAAAGAATTTTGTCATTGTTTTCTCTATAGGTTTCATTGATTATACATATATCCATATCATATTTCTAATGAATTTACTATGTTTTCTTGACTCTTAACATAACATCAAATCTAATTTAACCTGATTTTTGAGATGTCCAAACCCAAAAAAGTTAGCTTGCAAATGTAATGTGTACAGTACCTTATATCAAAAATGCAGCTGCAAAAAGAATGTATTTAGACAGTGATAAATGCAGTTTTTGAAAAGCATTTTATTTTCATGTTTACAGTGTTTCATAATGTTTAGTTTACATTTTCAAATGTACTAATTTATTACTCCATTATCAGGTATAGAGGATATGCAAACCAATAGAAAATTCTAGTCACAATTATTATACAATCAGTTTTAACAGCAAGATTTCATATTGGTATGCACAAGCATAAAATTTAACAGATATGTAATATTACACTGAATACATATTCTTTAGCATAGTGGACAACTCTCTGCTGAAACACAATTTTATAGGAGATTTGTCTGGGCATTGTTCACTTGACTTGCTATAGTTCAAAAGACCACCAACCCATTCTAAAACTAAAGTATTGAAAGGGACATGTACTATGTCTGTACCAATGTCATAATACTCACAATTGCCAAGCAGATAATGAGCAAATGATACAAACAAAGCTGCATCAAGTCAACTTTGTGCCCAATTCTAATAAATCCAATTTTTGAGACTCAAAAAGTTCAAAAAAAGATGTGCATTAGTATCAAGAAAACAAGGCAATTGAAGTGTATTTATTAATATTACAAAATTTTTAATGCAAATAATAAGCTATTTTGAAATTAACAGTCTCTTCAATTTTATAATATTTTATAAAATTTTTAATGAGAATCATTAAAAAATATATACCCATTTAGATTTGTTCTTCTGATGAAAATTTTGATGAGAATAAACTTTTGAAGGAACTACTGTTGACACCCAAGATAAATGATATGTAAGAACTGCTGTCAGCAAAGTTGATACAAAAATAAAATTAAATATATGTATTACATTATTATTTATAAAAATTTTAAAATAATACTAAACATTACAAATAACTTACAAATTTGTGTTCTTAGTATCAAAATCTTCTAATAAAGAAACAAATTCTTCAACTAATTGACTATATTTTGTTTGTAAATCATCTACAGAGGTCATTATTGTTAACCACATTGGAAACTGAAGTCTAGGTGCTGCATATAAATCTTGTAGTGTTTTCAAAATCTCAAAGCCCTTATATATATTATCAATAAAATTTTTTCCTTGAAAATAAGCATCAGTTACAATCTGCTTTAATTTATGCATATGACATTCAATCAAATTTATATGAGAAAAGAAAAAGTCTTCAAACAAGCTTTCTTCCTCTTCAAGTTTTTCTAAATTAATGATAATACTAAGTCCTAAATTTACTTTTCTTTTAGCTGGTAAATTATCTAATGATGTTGATTTGGCAGTATTATGAGCAACTCCATA